CACCTCGCTCAGCCAGTGAGCGGCCGGTCTGTATGTGGGATCCGAACCCTCGGTGGGAGCCCCGCCACGCTCCCAAGCGGCGCACTGTAGCAGTGCGCCACCGGGCCGGCCCCTTGACGGTCATTCTCAGTGTCTGAATGGGGCTGGGTGGATTCAGGACCTCCTGGGAGGACCAGTCATACCTCCTCCAGTGCCTAAAGACTGAGAGGTGGGCACACAAACCTCAGTACTGTCTCCTGGGGTTGGCAAAAGGGGTCTCCCCTCCTCGTGGCTCTTCCCTGAATCCCCAGCCTTCTGTGGCCATGGCATGTCTGATTGCAGTGGACACTGTCTGCACTTCATGACCTCAGGAACCCCTGCCGAACCCCCCTGCAGTTCAAGGCCATGTCAGCACCCCCACCCCCATCACTCAGCAGGTGGGCTGTGCTCAACAATGCACCTCCAGGGTGCATTCCAACCTATAGCTGACTCACTAGAAGATTTCGTGACTCACTAGAAGATTCTCACCGCTCTCCCTTTATGAAGCCCCTAAGTGGAGGTTCTGAGCTGATTTTTTCTCCTCAATTTCCTTTCTCCTTGAAGGTCTATGAGGGTGAATTCACTTTGTTGAGTTTCAGGGCCGGCCCTGCTGAATGGGAGGAAATAGCCCAGCATGCCTCTTGCCTGGTGATTATGTTTCTCCTCCAGGGTCAAGCCGAGAGCCACACAGCCACACACCCCGGAGCTGGGGGGAGTGAAGAGGCAGCCTTGCACAGTGGTCCCCAGACAGATCCTGGGCACTGGAATGAGACAGACCCTGAGTCTGAAACCAGCCCCACCATTCACCAGCTGTGCCACCTGGAACAAGTAACTTCCTGAGCCTCAACTTTTTTATTTGTAAAGTGGAGATGAAAATACTAACCATGCAGAGTTATTATGAAAAGTAAATCTGGGTCATTTACGTCTGATGTTTAATAACTGGGGGCTGATATTATGCTTGTCTTATCCCAACCTCCTTGACGGACAGAGGCAAACATGTCCGAAGTCATGCCTTGAGGCAGTGGCAGAGTCACAGGCCATCCTGCTTCCCACCCTGAGGCTCTTCTGCAGGTCCGACACTGCCCCACCCCCATGAGAGAGACACCAGGCAGCAGCAGGTGAGCATGATGGGAAGATCTTTCAGTTCTCTGATCATTGCCTGAGGGAGCCCACGTGGCACAAGGAATGACAAAACTCGCCCCAGATGGGCTTCCGCACTGGCATCGGAGAATAAAGGAACGAGGGAAAAAGTCAAACAGAAGAAAGTGCCTGGAAAAGATGTTTTTATGTTCACTTATGAAAAAAAAAATCAAAGTATACAGCATGAAGATATATGGTTCTCAGAAAATTCATCCCTATGGACCTGTTTGTTTCAGCTGCAGTTATAATTCAAGAACCGCCAAACGGAAGTCATACTATGGGGGTTGGGGGTGGGGAGGAGGGCTGCCAAGGGAAAGGTAGCAATTACGTGCTATTTTTTTTCTAGTTTCAGATAATTTGGAGTTTCAACTTTTCCAGCAGGTCAGAGTTATATAAACAGATGCCATACTAAAATATGATTGTGTAAAAATATAAAAATCCTAAAGCATGATGACAATAATATTTTAGGGGAAAAAAAACATTAAAGCCTGGCAATATCAGAAAATACAAATAGGATCATTTGAGCAGTTCTGTTTCCTTGTATGAACAGCAGTTGCAAATGATGGGTGTATGTGATAGAATAAAGCATTCGGTCTGCACATAACTTAGAAAGGGGTAACGTTTCTAAACACTGACTTTATAAGAAAACATCAAGGACGTCTTACACTCAAAAACAATGCTTAAAAGGAGGAAATTACTTTCTGAAGGATGCAGTGAGTGGAATGCCACGGCCTTTGTTTTCAACTTGCCCTTAACCTGTGTTGGGATGTGTTCACACTGCATGGGGTTTCCCGCAGAGTCTAGCACCAATATATGGATCAGATTTTGTCTTTGATCTGAGTCCTTTATGTTTTCAGTTTTGAGTGTATTGAGGTATGTTTTCTTTGGTTGCTGTCATAACAAATGTGTAATAAAAAACTGTAATATTTACAACATTTAAACATTTTAGATTTCAGTGTCAACTCTTCACATAAGAAAAACTGGAAAACTCTTTAAGAATCATCAGAAGATCATTACTTCCTAGCGTCTGTCATGAAACTGTTTTCGATACACAGAACAATTAGCCTATTAGCACAGCTGTATGCTTTCTGGTCCAGCATCTTCCCTGTGCTCAGCGGGGAGGCGAATCCCGTGGCCTGCATGTCTGCGGTTCGCCACGCTTCACAGTACTTATCCACAAGACGAACGCCATGGGTGCTGGAGCCATGCCAAACAACCTTCTGGGGCCTAAAAAGTAATTTTGTCATGTTAATATTTGAAGTGATGCTTCTTTATGGTATATCTTGGTAAGCAAATTGGCATAAGTCTAGTGAATCAAGTCAAGCTCCTTAACCCTCCATGGTCAGATGCCAAATCACCTCACTATCCTCACCGCTTTTTCAAATGTTCTGAACACATTATATTCCACTCATAATCTGCTTGCAGTCGTTTTCAAATTATACCCTCTGCTTTCATGAATCTGAACCTTTGCTCATGAGGTCCCATTGTCAGGAGTGGCCTCTGTTTCACTTTCAGATCAGTGACTCCTTCTCATCTTTTAAAGGCCAATAAATGCCTCCTCTTGCAGGAAGCCTTCTCCGATTCTTGCCCCTAAGTAAAGATGAATATTTCTTCTATGCTCCTATCATCTGATCTATTTCTCCATTTTACAATCACAATATTCTTCTAGAAACATAGTTAGTTTGTGTTTGTCTTCCCCTGTGAGCCCTATAAGGGTAGGGGCTGCTGCATAGGTTTATTACTGTGCCTTCCAGGCCTGGCATCAGGCCTGGTATACGATAGACACTAAGGGAAGGCTTGTTGAGTGTTCTATTCTCAACAGCACACAGAGTTTTCAAAGATTTAGAGTACAACTACAGCGTAGAGCTACAGGGTCAGCAGGAGTTGCATTATTTATGACTTATTGAGTGCCCACTGCTTGCTATAAGTTTTTACAAGTATTCTTTTTATTTGCACAACAATCCTATGGTATAGATATGATTATCTTGCCTATTTGAGAGGTAAGTCAGCTGAGGCTCAGAGAGTAGAGGCGCCTTGCCCCAAGTTCTCATACTGAGCTTCTGGACCTGGGTGTTCTGGCTCCAAGGCCCGGGCTTTCTCCATGTCCTCACTGTGGCTTTGTGTTGGCAACATCCCAGAGGGGCAGCTGATAAAGTTGTCTTGTTGTTAGGATGTCTCCTACAACTGTCTGTCACCTGAGGGCCTCCACCCCTACTTACCAAGAAGGATCTGTCATTACGTCTCGGCCATCAAAGGAGTAAATTGGAACCTGCGTATTGAACTCTCCTCCATTGCCAGAAAAGATGGAGTCCCAATTACTAAAAAGTTCTTGGCCCTATGGAAACAAAAATAGCACTTTAGAATCATTATATCATCAGCCTACAAATGTACTAGATTTTTACTCATTCTTCAAGGCCCAGATGCCACCTCAAACTGAAGTCCCCAACCCCAACCCCAGTGCCTAGACAGAGTAGAAACTCAAGGAATGTTTGTGGTGTGATTTTATAATCCATCCTTGAACCCTTTTGGTTTTACTGTCTTATTTCTTCAGGTTATTTCCCTTACTATATGCACATTCAAGGCTCCTCCCCATCAAAAGTGTGTTTTAGGTCTTTATTATTGTCATTTGAAAAATTTTATGCATATGTATTGAGCTTCAAATTTGTGCCAGGTCTAGTGCCAGTCTATACTGTCGGTGATATGAAGATGAATCTCTCAGTCCTTTTCCTGAAAGAGCCTGATCTCTCGTGGAGTGATCCAAGAATACAAATAATTCCAGTGGATGAAGGTGGGGGAACAGACCCTGGGAGAGGAGATGGAAAGTGCTGGGTTTGAAGTCAGGATGGAACCTGCCAGCCTCTAGGTTCCAAACTGGAGTACTGGGGTTACAGGGACCAAAAGGTCTTGAAATACCTTTGAGATCTAGTTAGTTGTCGGGACCCAGGTGTCTGAGTATCAACAGAGCTGTCCCTCTGTAGCCTTAAAGGAGTCGACTGTGTCCATGGAGAATCGAGGGAATCCTTGAAGTCCTGCCTTACCAGCAAATGGGACAAAGAAATCTACCAGGCTTTGGCAGCTGAGATGCTCAGAGGGCACTAAATCAGGGCTCAGGACAAAGCACCTCTGCCCTGGGACCAGTGTCCACCAGCTGTTCGCTGGTGCCACTCAACTGATGCCCTCTGGAAGGCATCATTGCGTGGAACCAGGAGCCCCAGACACAGGAGTCAAGGGGATTAATTCTAGTTTGCAATGACTTCAAGCAAACTGCTTTCTTCCTCTGAGCCTCAGTTTTCTCACCTGAGAAACTGGGAAAAGAATAACTACCATTTTTATTGGAAGTATCTATAAAGATATTAGAAGGTGCTTTGTAAACAAACACAAAGCTATATAAATGAAAGATGTTATTATTATTCTTCCTCTATGCTCCAAGAGTCGTAGACCATCCACACAGAAGGGCCATTGTAAATATAAGAAAACTGAGATCCAGAGAGGGTAAGTAACCTGTCCAAAGTCACAATCAGGGAAAGAGCTGGGCCTTGAACCCACACTCTTTTGTTGATGTCATGGAATGGCAACTGCCTCCAGTCCCTGTGGAGACCGGTGCATCTGGAACGCAGCGGGAACAGCATCTATTTTTACCTTGAGGTTCACTATTGGAAGGCTGTATCTCTCTGCCTTCCTCACAACTGTGGAGAGATCTTGCAAATGGGAGGATAAGAATGCTCGGTAGGTGGACAACAGCCCTGCGGCCCTGGCCTGCTGGAAGCACTGAAAATCAGCTCGGATGTCCCCAGAAAATGGCATGTTCAGAGCAACCAAGTGAAGCTGAAATAAGTGAAAGAAAGGACAGTGCAGTTAGAATAAAAGACAAACGCCAACCCTCATAAACCATCTCATGTTCCTAAGAAGATCCCAGAGTTCATTTTATTCGACCTCTAGCTGACATTGGAGTTGCAGTTTCTGCTTGACCATGTCCAGTAAAGAGAGCTATGATCTCCCAAAGCAGCCTTTTTCTGCTTTCTGAACAGCTCTAAATGGTGGAAATTTCTTCCACAGATGTGAAAAACAAAACAAAACACTGCTGCGACCAAATAAAGCACTTCAGAGGTCTGAATCCAGCCTGTAGGCAATATATGTGAGACCTCTGGGTCCACCTCCAGCTCAGTTTCCGGCAGAGGTCTCAGCTGGCTTTGGTTCTGGATACCAGAGCTTCACCAGGATGTCTGCCTGCTGCCCTTTCTTCCCTCTCTTGAGTAGGCCTGGTCTGATCACATGAGGGACCCAGGGGAAAGGCATTGATGGAGAAGGACATGACACTTATTACTAAGACTACTAGGATAGACCCTTCTGGAAACTAGGAGTCATAAAGTAATTCTAGCCTCACATCCCTGCCACCTTGGTCAGCAGCCAAAATAAAAGCCACCCCATTGTCTGTTTTCTCACACTTTCCCTCTCCCAACCCAGCCTCCCTCTACTGCCCTCTCTCCCAGCCTTTTTACCATCCCTCTGGGATGCATTCCATAATCAAGGAACACTCATTCCCTGCTCCCCGCCCTTCAATCTCATCTCAGGATTAACTTTTATCTCATCCGCATAGAGCTAGGGAGGGCTGGTACAGGGCCTGGGCCCAAGTTGCCAAAAAAGGAGAATAGTGTTAAACATCTTAAGCCACAAGACATTTCATGAGCCCCACACTGCGGCAGGAAAGGTCAGTGTTTCTCTCCCCATTTCCACGCTGCCTCTCAGATCTGTCCCCACTTGCAGTGTCACCATGCTGGCGTTCTGCTAGTTGAATAGCCAGTCGGCCACCACTGGCCTTGTGCTGCAATTTCCAGAACACCCCACGCAGT